ATTTAATTCAATTCCAATTCCATTAATTCAATATTCCAATTAAATTTAATTGGATTATTCCAATTGACAACACTGATTAGCATGTATATAAGGAAAGCGAAAATGTCTAAATAAACAAGAAATAATAATTGCTAAAAAATAACTATTTGTTCTAACTACTATACAAATGTGTTAACATTTGAAAGTAAAATTGTGACCATAAAGGACTTTGGAAGAGTTTTAGAGTAGTTTGGAAGTATGAATACATCATTGCTACAACAGGAACTTAGATATAGTTTGAGTAAATGAATGTGTATACTAATGTATGAATTTGAATTTAATTTTTTGTAGAAAGAGCAAGATACTCAAAACAAATTATTACACCTCAATCTTAAAAACTTAATTATTCGAGAGGACCTTAAAGGACTCTTACAAAATTTGGTGATGACTGTGAGATTCGAACAAAACGAAGTTTGCTATCCCCCGATTTTTGAAAACAAACAAATTTTTGGACAAACAATTTAACTTTCCTCTTATAATTGAGAAATGACACTTTATTACCCCCCTGATTTTTCTTGTGAATGATTTCTTTTATTATTTTTTTTATTTTATTATTAAAATATACACAAGATGGCCCGTGTAGAAGAACCTGTGGACTTTTTTGGAGATGAATATAATGGACAATCAGGAGCAGCCACTCCCACTCATGAAGACAATATGTACTCATTTTTGGGAGAGATTTTTAGAACTTGCCACAATGCTATGGCAGAAGCAATGAGGAGGACACCCGAACACCAAAAACAGATTGGGCGAGAAACGAACTGGGTGCCAGTAAGAATATACTACGAGACAGAACAAGAAGACCCCATAGAATGGATAGAGGCCTTCAAAAGAGCAGCAATGGCTAACAATTGGACAGAACGAAAACGAATACAGATTGCCTCTGGATACCTTGCCGGGATAGCAGTCAGTTGGTACGACAATAATTGGTGCACCATAGACCACTGGGACGATGATGAATGCAGGGATCGAAGTTTTGTTCCAAGGTTCGTGGAATATTTTGTCACTTCAGAACGAAGACACAAATGGCAGATGGAGCTCAACACGATAATACAGAAGAACGAAGAGAGAGTGGATACTTACACATATCGGTTCAAGCAGTTGTTAAGATGTGTAAACTCAGAACATCACCTGCTGACTACATATGTCATACGATTGTTCACTGGTGGATTGAAAGGAGAAATTGCAAGGTTAATGCCACTGGTAGAGCCCACCACACTAGACGATGCGATCGCAAGTGCGTGAAAATTAGAAGCTGGAGAATACTATATTGGCAGAAGAAAGGAGAAAAACCCAGCTAATGACGCCATCAGCAGCCTAACAAAACAAGTGCAAGAAATGTTATCAAAGCTAACCACGATAATAAGAGAGAAGAAAAATACTAGAAACCAGAGTTACTGACCCACCGGATACTTCAATTGTGGAAGACAAGGACACAGAGCCCGTGAATACCCCGAGCCAAGGAGACTGCCACCACAAGTTGCCAACTCTCGTAACGTGAACCTTTGCGAAGTAGAAAACAGTGACGACAAAGCTTATGTTGCTACTAGATCACGACACTAGCCATACACTGTTAATTGTCCGAAAAAGGGTAAATTGAGTAAGGAACCTACTGGAAGAACTGTGAACCAGCCATGATAAACGGAACAAGCACGACTGGCACAGCAGGAAGAGTGCACCCAATCAATACAACCAGTAGAAATAGATATCACAGCAAAATCTGCATAAAAAAATGCCATGCCGCAAGTTAAGTGCCAGAGAGGACTGTCAGTAGTAGACCAAGCATCCCTATACAATGTTGCAGAAGACTTATTGAGTCAGAGAACTAATGCCATATATGCCCAACTATTGCAAATTCTGAAGCAACAACAGCACCTGGCACAAGTATTGAAACGACCTATCATTACCCCTGTAGAAGTTGACTATGTAAAAGACCAGCCTCAACGAACCTCAGCAGCTAGATATAATATGAAGATAAGAAACAAACCAGTCGTAGCAGTATTGGACTCTGGAGCTGCAGTGAGCATTATGTCAAAGAAATTGCTTACCAAGCTCAGACTACAAATTTCAGAACCATCTAACGCTGTTGTTATCACTGCGAACAGAACACGGGAAAGAGCTCTAGGAAAGTTGAAGGATATAGCACTACAAATAGGAAGAATCACTGTACCTACGGACTTTCAGGTTATAGAATCTACAGAAGAAATGATACTATTAGGAATGAGTTGGTTTAAGAAGTTACGTGCCTGCCTATATTTCAACGAACAAAAATTGATTATTACCCACAAGGAAGAAAGCATAGAGCTACCCATTCACCAAGAAAAAGAAGTTAAAATAGAAGAACCGGAGGAAAAAGAAGAGAATTACGAGGAAGATGACTATTTTGATACATATAAGGAAGAAGATCTAGATGAAGTAGAAAGTTACTTGACCGACGATCAAGAGAACTTATATACTAATCCATGGATCGATGAGCATAGCCCGGCAGCATATTTGACGATGATTGAAGAAGTTCTGACACCCAAAGAAACTGAACGACCCATATGACCTCTGGAAGAAGTAATAAAAGAATTAGTAAATGCCGAAGACATTGATAACGACCAACAAAAAACAGGCTATTCACTTACTAGAAAAAAATAAGAAAGCCTTTGCCGATGGATTAAATCAACTGGAACAAACTGACGAAGTACAACATGAAATCGATACTGGAAAAACGAAGCCAATTAAACAACACGCATATAGAGTGTTCCCTAGTAAGCAAGAGTTTTTGGAAAAGGAAATCCAGAAAATAAAGAAAAAGAAGTTAATTAGTGAAATCAAAAGCCCCTGGACATCTCTGATAGTGATAGTCCCAAAGAAAGGAGGAAAATTATGATTATGCGCAGACTATCGAAAGTTGAATGCCGTTATAAAGAAAGATTCATACCCTCTATCTAGGATTGACGACTTGCTAGAAGCTTTTGGGAAAGCAAATTGGTTTTCTAGTCTAAACCTAGCTAGCGGATATTGGCAGATCAAGATGAGAGAGAAAGATAGAGAGAAAATCGCATTTATTATGAAACAAGGAACCTACGCATTTAACATAATGCCCTTTGGGTTGTGTAATACACCAGCGATGTTTTGGAGAACTATGGATCAGATACTTTACAAATATTTGGGAAAATTTGTAGTAGTATACCTTGATGACATTAATGTGTATTTGACGATTTTTGAGAAGCATGTGGAACACCTATGGAGAGTAATCACAAAGATCAGCAAAGTCAGACTAAAATTTAACAGAGAGAAGTGCCGATTCTTAGGACACGTAGTAGGATGCAATGGAATCCAGCCGGATGAAGAAAAAATAATCAAAGTAAAAGAATTTCTGACGCCAACAAACCTAAAACAACTACAAGGATTCATCGAACTTGCATCATATTACTGATGCTTCATCAAGAACTTTGTAACAATCACGAAGCTGATACATAAATTATTAAAAAAGGAAGTGAAATACGAATGGACACCAGCATAGGAACAGGCATTTGAGAAACTTAAGACTTACCTGACCTCAGCACCTATCTTGCAATACCCGGACTTCGAGCGAATGTTTTATCTTCACACAAATGCTTCAGGAGTAGGATTAGGAGCCGTACTAGCTCAGAGAGGAGAAGATAAGAAGGAATATGTTGTTGCGTATGCGAGTAAGAGCCTCACTAGAGCAGAGCGAAACTATGCAGCTACAGAATTGGAGTGTTACACAGTGATCTGGGCCGTGGAGCATTTTCATCACTACCTTGAATTTAAGCCATTCGTGATAATAACAGATCATATAGCATTAAAATGATTGTATAATACTATGCTAAAAGGACGGAGAGCATGATGGATTCTACGATTACAGCCATACCAGTATATTATTCAGCACAGATCCGGATGAAAACACCATAATGCTGATGCACTATTTAGAATTTCGAATCATAAGGAATTGAAGAAAAAGAAGGAAAAGGAGACGAAAATTTAATTGGTTATTGTCAGACGAATTACTTAAAATATGAAACACGACCTACCCAAGAGTTGCGATATTGACTGACCACCGTAATTAAGAAAAGAAAGAAATCTGACAAGAAACACAATCCAGCCCAGGTTGTTGGTGTCCTGGAACTAATAAGGATAAAGATGAAACAATAATGATATGATGAAATCAAGACTTACCTATTGTACCAAAAGTACCTGCCAAATTTAGATAAGCAATAACAACAATGATTAAGAGCACAAAGCAAATTCTTTCATATGCAAGACAATCAATTATTCAAGAAAAATAAATCAACGAAGCAAAACAATTTAATTAGAGTTCTCACGGAAGCAGAAGTGGATTCATTACTAGCATTGATACATGATCACCCACTGGAAGGCCATTTTTCGAAAGATGTGATGTTTAATAAGATTCGTAAGTACTATTATTGGCTGCAGATGTATAATGACATATGAGAATATGTTAGGACTTGCGAGAGATGCCAGAAAGTCAGAGCGAAGAAAGAGAAGCTACCGTTACACCCCATCCCCGTAATATCACTTTTTTACAAGATTGGAATCAATATAGTTAGACCTTTACCAACAACACCTAGATTGAACAAGTATATCGTAGTAGCAACTGACTATATGACCAAGTGGCCGGAAGCATATGTCATAAGAAGAGACACAGCCAAAGAAGTTGCCAAATTTATCTATGAAGACATTATATACAGACATGGATGTTCGATGCATATACTCACAGACCGAGGTACGCATTTTAGGAATAGAACGATTGACAAATTAATGGCAATATTACAAGTGGAGTATTAATATTTTATCCCATATCACTCACAAACTAATGGATTAGTGGAGAGATTTAACAAGACCTTATGTAACTCGATCGCAGATTAGTTACTAAAATAATGGAATGGGATACAATGATTCAGCCAATATTATTTGCTTATCGCATTGCAAGACAAGCTATGATCCAGCAAATGCCTTTTACATTAACTTATGAAAGAGAAGCAAGATTACCTATCCACCTGAGTGAATCTGAAGATTTACTTAATGGAACGTTCTTGCAGAGAATGTATGAGTTAACTACGAAAGTACCGAATATGAAAAAATAAGCGTTGTTACATATCTGGGACAATTAATAAAAACAGAAGGCAAATCATGATCGGAAGTTGAAAGGCACTACTACTTTTGGAATTGAAAATAAAGTATTAGCTTACAATATGCAACGAATGAATGCTTCAAGTCACAAGTTCGCACCTAAATGGAAAGGACCATATTACATACACACTATACTTATGAATGGAGCTTACAAATTAAGGGAATTAGATGGGAAAGTTTTATCTATGCTGATTAATAGGATTTACTTAAAGAAATACTTGGAGAGAAAGTGTTGAGAATTGACTTTTTTTTTATAAGAAGGCAATTCGGAGGATATTTTTTATTTTATTTTTTTTTCTTTCTTTATTTTTTTTATTTTATTTCTTATGGGAACAACAGAAGATCTCATCAGATTTGATATTTTGCCTACTCAGCCCTTATCCGTAATGCCTGAAATATGTCTGTATCACGAGAGTCAAGGATTTCGAGATCAAGTCACGATAGCTTACTATTGACTTAGGAGAGCTAGAAGTATTGGAAATCAGATTAGCAGCCTTACTCATGTGTATTATTTGGGAGCAAGGATACAGACACTTATCTCAGCAGAAAGACCTGTCGTACGAAGCATTTTGACCATGTATTATCTTAAAGCTACGATTCAAACCTACTATCTTTTCGAACCACATGGAGTTGCACAGATTTGTCGAACAATATATACTACTCTTTTGATTATTGTCAAGCTCATAAAGTACGAATTTTATCGACTCATTATGGAAGAACCCGTGGAATGTGTTTTTTTTAGCAGAGAAGAATTGTGAAAGGGAAATTGCATGGTCATATGAGTCTATGCAATAATGATCTTAAAAATGACAAATCTGAGAAAACTGAGATATCTGTAATATATTTCTTTTATTTGATTTCTTTGATTTCTTTGATTTATTTAAGATATTTAATATAGTTGAGAAATTAGATATATTTGCAATAGTAGATATAGTTGATATAGTTAATATAGTTGATATATCTGAAATAATTTTTTGTAATTAGCATGTATATAAGGAGAATGAAAATGTTTAAATAAACAAGGAATAATAATTGCTGAAAAATAACTATTTGTTCTAACTACTATGCAAATGTGTTGACATTTGAAAATGAAACTGTGACCATAAAGGACTTTGGAAGAGTTTCAGAATAGTTTGGAAGTGTGAATGCATCATTGCTACAACAGGAACTTAGGTATAGTTTGAGTAGACAAATGTGCATGCTAATGGATAAATTTGAGTTTAATTTTTTAGAAAAAGTGCAGGATACTTGGATCAAATTATTACGCCTCAGCCTTAAAAACTTAATTATTCGAGAGGATCTCAAAGGACCCTCACATTATATATAAATAAATAAATAAATAGTATTTATCTATTTAAAAAAAATGGTAAGTAAATTATTAATTTAATTTAAATTTGTATTATTATATAGTACAGGTTATAAGTAACCATACACCTTTTAAAAATTCAAATCTAATCCAATTGTTTTAAAAATATTAGGACAAATAGTTTATCACAATTCCTGATTCTCCAAAATTTTTTAGATTTTTATAATTGCTAGAACAAAATTTAGATGAGGAGCAAATTTTAGAGATTTTTTTTAATGAGTTTTTTTTTAACTTGAAAGTTATTAAAAAATTATCCATGGATCAATAATTTATATAATCAAAATTTTTAAAAAATTATATGTTAAAATCTAGGTCCTTTCATATTATTGACAAAAAATTTGACATGTTTTAATAAGACAGTTGTCAAAAAATTGATTTCTAAATTTTAAATTTGCTGCATTTCAAAAAAATGACTTTCCAAATACAGTTTTTATCAATTTTACTATATAATTTATTAATTTTTAATAATTTTTATAATAAATTAGATAGAAAATTGATAAAAACTGAATTTGAAAAGTCATTTTTTTGAAATGCAGCAAATTTAAAATTTAGAAATCAATTTTTTGACAACTGTCTTATCAAAACATATCAAATTTTTTGTCAATAATATAAAAGGACCTAGATTTTAATATATAATTTTTTAGAAATTTTTGATTATGTAAATTATGATTCATGGATCATTTTTAATAACTTTCAAGTTAAAAAAAGCTTATTAAAAAAATCTCTAAAATTTACTTCTCATCTAAATTTTGTTCTAGCAATTACAAAAATCTGAAAAATTTTGGAGGATCAGGAATTGTAATAAACTATTTGTTCTAATATTTTAAAACAATTGGATTAGATTTGAATTTTTAAAAGGTGTATGGTTACTTATAACTGGTATTACAAATAAGTTAAAATATTTTAGTATTGTTTTAATTGAAGTTTTTTAATTAATATATTTTTTTTTATATTTGTAGTTTTGGAAATACTATATTACTTTCTTATCTTATAGAATCTTGATGATTTTTCTTATTACAATATACAGTGCCGGCTGAAAGTAATGGCGGCAATAATTTATTAAAAAAATTTTTTTTTTCAAATTAAGTAGGTACGAAATTTAAGGTATACATAACAATATAACTAATCAAGAATATGTTTGTATAATTTATATGATTGTTTTCTATTTTTATTTTTTTTTTTTATTTTTTTTTCCTAATTAAGTATCTCCTATAATGATTAACGATAATCGACAAAAAGTTAAGGTTTTGTGGGAGTGTGGTATCTGCAATTCAGCTGAAATCTCTAAATGAACCTGTATTCCCTTGCGCTCTTGTAAGCATTATGTAGCCCTCTTACGTAAGATCGGTCGTATCCCCGAAATTCACCGTCCAGGTCATCCAAGAAAAACCAGTCCCAATAAATGTCGTCAAATCGGGCAAATTATTAAAAATAATCCTTTTGCAATGGCTAATGAAATCAAAGCAAGACTTGAAGAAACTCATCCTGGCTTTGAGGTAGGCAAACGTACTATTCGTACTGAGCTTACAAAACTTGGATATTCTGTTGTTCTTCCAAAACGTGTTCCTCTTCTTACAGAATATGCAAAAGAAAACCGTTTACAGTGGGTGTCATACAGCCCAGATCTCAATCCTATTGAGAATATCTGGGCCTATCTAAAGTGTAATGTGGAAAAAAAAGTAAAAAAAAATGGTTGCAAAGAAAAAAAAAATATCAAAAGAAGTTTTTATTGCATTAGTACAAGAGGAGTGGAAGAATATTCTGGAAGAAGTAATTCTTTCGAATATTCGAAGCATGACTAATCGAATTCAAGCTTGTATAGATGCAGACGGAGGTCACACTAAATATTAAAAAAAATTTTTTTTTAAATGTATTATTCTTAAAGTATATTTAATTAAAAAAAAAATTTTTTAATAAATAAAAAAATCATTTAATCTAAAAAAAACCATCCGCCATTACTTTCAGCCAGCACTGTATATTAAAAAAGTTAAGTTTTCAATTATCAATTTTCTTATTAAACACTTTTGATTTACTAATTAATTTATATACAATTGTATAATTATTATTTATTTAATTATTTATTATTTTTACTTTTATTTATATTGAAGCCATATGAAAAAATATTAAGGAAAATAGACTTTGGAACTAAATTAGACTATTAGATAAGTTATTTAAACTTTATAATTATATTTTTTACTGTATTGTTATATTACAAGTTTTAAATGCCAAGGATAATATAATTAAATATAAAAAGTATTTAAAAGAAAGATGTAAGGTTTGACATAGAACTCTTATAGTATAAGACTTTATGTCCAAGTGATTAGGGCTTTTTAAGAATTCCTTTATTAAATAAATCCTTTAACCTTTTTATAAATAATTAGAATATTGTTCAATCAGTTTTAAACATTTAATAATAAAGTGGGCCATTTTCGTCACGCCAATTACAATATATTGTTGCTTAGCAACTCAATGACAATTAGCACTGCAAGAACTGTCCTCCTTATACGATAATAATGTACAAGCCTACCAAAATATTTATTCCAATTAATTTATAAAAATAAAAGAATTTATTAACAAAGAATTATTAAATTAACATTAAGATTTAAAGATAATTTTATTAAAGAAATTAGGAAGGAAATAAAGGTCAAATAATATAATTATAAAGATAAAAGAAGTTGAAGTAATTGTTATTTTAACCAGAAGGACGAAATGGCTGTCCTTATATACAGTTTGAAGTTGTATGATTATCCTTTGCTTGTACATCAAAGATATTCCTTTACAAATCCGTTTTTCGTTTCGGAATGAATATCCTTAAATTACTAACGATTCTATTATGTAAACAGCCTTAGTGACTATAAGTAACTATGTTCTTTACGTGATTATACCTATAGTTTCATGGAGCGACTTTGACGATTTAATTAGTAAAATCTTGAGATATTTTGTCTCAAAGATTGTTTGCTGTATAAAAACTATAGAGATTCAAGGATTTTCACAATTTCATGAGTCAATCACGTGGTCACGTAATCTCCGACGTCCTACTTTCGTGAATTATTATATTATTTCTTCCTATAATTAATATTTTCAATAATATTTTCATAAAATAATAATAAAATAATGTAAAAATAAAATAAAATAACAATAAAAAGATATATAAAAATAGTATAATATTATAGAATTTAATTATTCTATAACAATACCAATGGAATGATACACCAGAGGAAGAATGGAAAATTTTGATAAAGATTTTCTTTTGTCACTCCAACATTCATAGGACTCAATAATCAAAGAACTGTTGTATTCAATGGTGAGTCTGTCACTAGTTCAGATCAAGACTTGTGCAATGTTAGATCAGTGGGTCTATGTTGCTAGTAATACCAAAGGTACATATGATAATAATTATCTTAATTTTTCCTTTTGTTTGGCTAGTCTTTTCTTCTAATCCTTTTCTTCTTGCACTATAAGGCCCTGGATTCTACTTAAGGTGACTAAAGACAAATAAGATAAGTTTATTAATTATCATTGCACAGGTACAAACACTTGGCTTTTCAGTGAATAGTATTTTATTAATTCATTCTTTCCAATACACGATACTTTTTACATTGGGATATTACTACTATTTATATGTCTTGTGACGTATCTCTAAATCTATTATCACATTATACAGAATTACTAAAGTTTGACAAGCTTTGTGCCCATTGATCAGGCATGATTGATACATGATCGATGCTTCATGCGGTACTGCACCAGGCTCCACATGTCGCATCATACCTCTACTACAATTTTTATAATAACAGAACAAAACCCAGTAAACAAAATATAATGCCTTATCAAAGAAGCAATATTCTATGCAGTTAGCAAAAATATCAAGAAATAAAAGAAAAAAAAAAGAACAGCAAAACTATTAAAATCATAAACATATACAATAAAATAACTTTCGAAACTAAAGAACCTTGGAGAAAAAGCTAAATAAAAAAAAATCCAAGATATGACCTTTAAAAAAAAACAATCAAAATAATAAAAAAACTAAAAAACAAATACAGCTTAATAATCAACCAGTTAGAAGAACTACTCAATGAACAAAATTTAAAAGAATGGAATCAATATTTAAAACAAACATTAAGCGACCACAAACAAACTCTCAACAAATTATATCAAAATAAAAAATCAAAAACAATTCAAGAATATATTATGTGGAGACAAACATATTTCAATATGAATAAAAAACAAATAATAAGAAATCTTTTGGACGACCCCAAGAAGTATATAATTTTAAACAAACTTATTTTTCAAGAGCCAGAGGAGAAAATCATAACTGACCAATTCAAATCCAAGAAGAAATAAGTAAGCACTTCAAAGAATGGACAAGAAAAAGAATTATCAAAGATATAATAGAAACAACTTGGGCCAAAGAATACAAACCAATTAACAAAATCCAAATACAATAGTACAAAAACTCAACCAAAACAATCAAAATCGAAGAAATCCAACACACAATAAAAACCTGACTTTCAATATCAACACTAGGTCCCATAGGAATTCCATATATTGTACTTAAAAAACTCTACCCATAATCCCTTTCTTACATTGCAAATTTATTCAACAATATTCTCAAATTCGAATCAATTCCAAAAGAGTGGAAACAAGGAAGCATTTATCCAATACCCAAACCAAAACTCTGGGAAAATAATATCAATATCACAAGACTAATTATACTACTGAAAACAACAAAAAAAATTTTTACAAAAATAATTAATGACTGTTTAGCAACAATATTCAAGACAAATTCAATCCTATCACCATACAATTGGGCAGCACTTCCAGGATACAGTACATAAGAACCAATTCATATTCTAAGAACAATTCAAGACGATACAAAACAATACAACAAACAAGCTCGGATTTTAAGCCTGGACATGGCCAAAGCATATGACTCCATAAGTACATCAAGACTTGAACAAGCGATAAACAGAATCTAAATCCCAAAAAAATAATAAATATAATAATGAACATATGCAATAGTAGACAGAATGAAGTAATAACACTTTTTGAACCCTTACTTAGGTACATAGTGAAGGATGGAATCGACCAAGAAGACAAAATTTTTCCACTTTTATGGAGAATTTTCTATAACCTCCTCATTACATATATAGACAGAGAACACAAAGGATATGTACTTACAGCATATCACAAAACAGAAATATCAGTAAAACCAAAAACAATGAAACAAAAAATTATATGTATTACATATATGGATGGCACCATACTAATTACACAAAGCCAAAAAAAAATGCAAGAACTATATAATACATGCATCAGCTTTTTCAATACGAATGATATAAACAACAATGAAACTAAAACAAACATGGTTACCATAAATGTTAACAAGGGAAAAATTAATCCAATAATTATATAGAACTAATCAATAACAGCAGCATTAGAAGTATACCAAGTAGCAAGAGTCCTGGATATATACATCAAAAGCAAAAACTCAAAACTGTTTCAAAGACAATTAATTAAAAACAAAATACTCAGATTCACAAATACAATAAAGTGAAAGACAAGTATAGACAAACAACTAAGATACCTATACAATCAAGTTTGAACCCCTGCAATAACATATCTTCTTATATATATGATAATTACAAAAATTTAAGCAAACAAGCTAATGCAAACACTAAACAGAATCTACAAACACAAGCTAAATTTGATACAAACAGTACCAAATACAATCCTTTTCAATGCTATTGAATATGGGTTTTTTCATATCTGAGATAGACAAATTCTGATGCATACAAACAACTTGTACAAATTAATAACAAACCAAAGCCTCCTTGGAAAAATAACAAAAATGAAATTGCAAAAACTTTAGAATACTTGGTAGTCGACAGCATCAGTTATCAGCACTAGTCTTGAAAAACCTTTCCTTTCAACAGGATACGATTTGACATATGACATTATATTTTTATTAAGACAACAGGGATTTACAGGTAAAATAAATACCATTGACACCATCCAAAAAACAGAAATAACAATTGAAGAAGTAGTAGAAGAAAATGGTATATGAAACATAGAAAATAACTCAAAACAAATCAAATAATGTTTATATATCAAATAACTAACTATACAAGAACAAAATTAGTAGCATGGCCAGAGATAACACATACAGTATTAATAAAAAGCCAAACCAAAAAAAGCCAAAGTGGTTTAAAGAAATTCAACACAATCAAGAAATTCTTCAAGCAATAAATATCAGACAAGCAACACAACAGTATATAAAACAAGACATAAAACTGCAATTGAACTTCTTTCAGCAGAAATAAAATAGGTAAAATTAAGAAAAAATAACAAAAATGTAATTGGAAGAAGAAAAAAATATCAATATCATGAAGTCAAAATACAATATTACAACAGAGTCTACAACAACTCTTTTCTTACAGGGTGCACAGGTTATGAACATGACATTCAAGGCAAACTAAAAGAATGTATTTTCATAGAAGTGGCAAACAGCACAGCATGCATTCCAGTTCACAAGAGCAAAATCAATTCTAGAGATACATCAGACAACAAACTTCAACATAGAGTAAGAATTACACCTGACAGTATTAACAACATAATCAAGGACAATTTCGATAACACCAACCATTCAGTTTCACTCATCATTATCCAAGACACCTACACATGGCAAAAATAGTAATTAAAAAGTATATCTACACATTTCAAACAAAATTAATAAAGCTGCTAAAATTAAACTCAAAATAGGAAAAACAAAGAATTAAATATACTTTACCAACGAGTCTTTAAACAAACAACAGAAAATAGGCTTCAGATGGCACATTATTAACTTCTCCGACACAAATTTCAAAGGCAGAATAACATCAACACTCTTATCAACCAGAGCAGAGCTTGCAGCAATAGCCATAGCAATTCTAACAGCATTAACAAATGGCAATATAACAATCTGCAGTGATAGCCAAGCAGCAATAAATGAAATAAACAAAGCAGAAAAAGATATTAGAAATCTTAGAACACTCAAAAACAGTTATATAATTACATGTATTCTAAATATTATAAAAACCCAAAAACTTAAAATCACATGGACAAAGATCAAAGCACACAATTACAATCTCAACAATAACTTTGCTAATCAACTGGCAAAAGAAGCATGCAACTTACCAGTTACAAAAGAAATTACAATTCAAAACACACAAAACCAAATTCTGGAGTGGATACAATTTTGGGATGGACAAATGCTTAATAATATAATTATACAAAAAATCAAAGATATAACAAGAACAAAATATATTATAAAATAAAGATTACTAAATCAAAACATAACATTAATCAACAATTATACCAGAGAGAACATAACCTGAAAAGAATCTATATGATATAAGCATCCATCCAAAATCACAACAGGTATAACAAATACTGAAGACTATAATAAAAGAGCTTTAGATGGAAACTCTGGAATTAAGAACTTTCAACTAAAGACAAACTTTACAAAAGATTAGCAGAAAATATACTTAAATAATACATGCATCAGATGTAACACAAAAACTGAAGATAATGCACATGTAATACAATACATATACAACAATTCAGATCCAATCAAAACTCTCAAGCAAATAATAAACGAAAAAATAAGTAGCAAAAGGAAAACAAAGCTCAAAAGTAACCTAAATATTGAACTGAACAAACATATACAGAGTTGGACAAAAGAAATAATAGATCAAGTATACAAAGGGGCATTAACAACCAAAACAATAGAAATAATAAAACTATATACAGAAACAGAAACAAAAAGACAAGTCATAAAAAAGTCTTCGACAGATGGCTAAACAAACTTGAACAAAGATGAAAACTTCGATGTAAAGTTTTCAGCGAATGGGAAAAATCTTAAAATATCAGCAAACAGGATAAAAATAAATGGAAAACATTTATGAAACATATACAAATAAATAGCGACCATATATGAGAAGTCAATTCAATAATGAAATATGCAAATAAAAACTGAATAACTTGAAACACACTTTACTTTTTCAAAATTAATTTTAATAGGGATTGGTAGAGCCTTGGTAAATTAATTAAGTATATATCAATATACAGGCAATAAATTGCATTATAGGTTTTTTCTTAGTGGGTTTATTAAATAGATAAGTTAAAAATTTATATAAAATAAATTTGTACTTGCTCGAAATTAAATTTAATAACAAGATATATGCCACCCATTTAAAAAAAATAATAAAAATTATCAGCAGTCCCATTATAATATGTATATATAACTTGGAATTATATGAGCCTAAATACAGAGGGTGATCACAAGTATCAAAACAATTAAATAGTAATTAATTCATTAATGATTTTATATATATATAAAAAAAAGTTTTTTTTTAAAAAACTTTTTCTTCTCTATTTCTTTATTTATTTAAAATATTAATACTTTGTTATGCCATTTTGGGCCTTGATACATGCTTGAATTTGGTGGAACATACTTTTAATTAATTTATAGATATAATTAAGTGAAATTGAATGCCATATAGTTTTTACTTTGCATTCTAAATCATCAATATTTTTTGGCTGGTTACATAAATTACATACCTTTCTATCAATCTCGTTACAGAAGTTTTCGATCGGATTAAGATCAGTGCTTTGTGCAGGCCAGGGTAGTATAAAAATGCCTGCCAACTTACAAAAATCAGTGGTGATCTTTGCATGATTGAGAGGAGCATTGTCCTCTTAAAGAGTCCCTCTACAACTGACCAACCTATGCAATGAAAGAATAGCATGCTTCTACAATACTTTTAGAATACACTTTTCCCATCATAAATTTATGAATTGAAACGAGTGGCCCCAGCCTGTTCCATGAAAAGCATCTCCAGAATATTCGAATAGGACTGTACCTCACCATAGCACTTAGACAAGAAGTGTCGAATTCTTTTTCTGGTGTTTGCCACATACAAAAGCTACGACCTTGCAAGAACTGATGAATGTGGACTTATCAGACCACATGATTTTTCACCACTTTGCAATTAACCAGTTTTGTTACTCCAGTGCTCAAGCTAATTATTTTTTTTGATTTTTTTTTGAGATTAATGGTTTGATACGGGCAATACAAGAGTGCAGACTAATTTTTTTGAGAGTATATTGAATTGTAACTGCTGATATGTTGGTTTTTTTTTATTCCATAGGTTCTTGATTTTGTGAATAAAGAGGTGACGACACTTGGCACTGTCAGTGACAAGTTTTTTCAGCACGATTTGCATGCGAGAGTTAAATATTGACTCTGGGCCACTATGTTTTTGGGGTGTTGTGGATCCTGTTCCTTTATATTGTTTTATAATGGTAAATGCAGTGGTCTTGCCACACTGGACACTTTAGGTAATTTTTTTATATGAATTACCATGTAAGTATCCATAAAGGATTGTTCCATGTTACTCAGTGATTAATTCTTTATTTTTTTCAGCCATTATTTTAATAAATAAATCATGTGTTGATAACATAATTGCTTATAAATACAATAATAGAGGAGTGGTGAAAATAACATATAATTAAATAAATTATACTACGTGTAAACAAAAATAAGTAAATAATAAATAAAAACATAACTGTTCCAATACCTGTGATCACTTTCTGTAATTCTCAAAATGATATCTGCAAATGAATAATTTAAATACAGTAAGGAAATTTCATTACGAAATTGAAAATCTCCTCCCTACTTAATGACAACAATATTCAGTATCCACCACCATTCAAAAAGATTGCTATGTAATTTGTCAAAAATGCAAATATACGGTCTTGTTTATGAAGAAATAAAAGCTGTTCCTTTACAAAATGTCAAGGTTGAATTTTCAAAAGGTATCCTTGTTATACCAAATTTAAATATAGGTTGAATGATGTAAGGAGTAAAATAAGATGGCCAAGACACGACAATGTCATGTGAACAATTTTAATCGGAGTATCGCGAAGTATCAACCTGTAATAACAATGATTAATTAATGACGAATAATAGACAGAGATGATATGTAATTTAGAATCACTTACCTTTAATAGTTTAGAAGTTCTATCTATTTCGATCTTTTTTCTGTAGTGTTCTAAAAGCTTTCATCTAAATGCTTGTTAAAACATGTATAAAATCCAAAGAAAAGTATTAAATAAAAAAAGGAGAATTCGATCAAGTCAAATACGTCTCTTTTGAGTTTTAATTATTAAAACTAAAGTAATAGTTACGCGAATTCTTTTTGCAGCTAGCGACAGACTCGCCATTAGCCCGTCAAAATTGTAATTCATTCTTTTTTTCTAGTTGTTGACATGATTGCGGAGGTTATTATTCAGCAGATCTATAAAAATGTCGAAAATAATTTAATCGAAGCCGTATACAAGTTTCCTATTTATAAGGCCGCAGCAATTTGTGGTTTCGAAGCTGATATTATTGATGGGCACAGAACAATCAAGGGAATAGTGAAGAAGTCTAAAGATGCTGTTAGAGAGTATGACTAAGCCATTAAAGCATGTTGATAACATGATAACATAATTATTTCTAGTTATTTGACGAATTTATTCCATACAAGTGCAAGGTCATGGCACCTATTTGTTGAAGGAAAAACTTGCCGATGTGTTCTAATACACTGTCGGAAACATCACCTCTGGCCAGACTGTGGTGATCAAAATCACATATGTCACTGAACTCAAACACGATGCTGAATCTGGACAAATACGATTCGTCTTACCTACCACTATTGCCCCGAGATATGGTTTTCCACATGGTGACGATACATCTATCCAGGAATCAATATCTTATTCAAGTTTAACCAGCTATCATCTTGACCTCAACGTAACATGCAGGATGGCTTCATCCATTCAGGTAATCGAGTCTACTTGACATCATATTTCTACTGAAGTTGATATTATGGAGATCCTAAAGTTGCAAAAATTACCTTGGCCGAAGATGTAACTTAGGACTTCATATTGGTTGTTAAAAGTTTGGATCTTGATGTATCAAGGTATTACTCATGTAAGAAATGTCTTTTTTTTTCTTCGGTGACTAAGTAAATAACCCCTAATTATTTTCTTTATAATAGGGCGTTTTTCGAATATACAGTAGAATTCATACAGTATGTCATTGACCGACCTAAATGTTTCTTGTTCTGAATCAAAATATAAATTCTTGCTTTATATAACTTTTTTTTTGAATTTTTGATATCTATGAAAAAATTCAATTCGAGTATTAACAAGTAATTCATTATATTTCACATATCCTTAAAATAATTCTCAAGAAAATTTGAGATCGGTCAACGACATATGAATTCTACTGTAACTCTACAACCGAAACCAATTGTGTTAAGCTTACTTTGGTTCCCAAATTTGCGCTTAATGAAACCTTGTTAGAATTAATATTTATTATAGATAGGTAGAGAAAATTTTTAAAAAATACTTTGTGATATTTCATGTTATAAAAGAATTTATCTGATAACAATTTAAGATCAGGGTCAATGAAAGGCGAGCCTATCCAAAAAGCGGCCTAAACTCTTCAATTATTGCTTCGCTCTCTTCCAGAAGGTTTTTGTTTTAATGTTTGTATCGTTTGGTTCTCACCATGATTCATTGTTCCCACAAAGCCAACTCTATTCCGAGGACACCCTTACTCAGGCTCTCGATCATGCAAAATCAATGGACGCCAATTATGGAGGCACGGAAATATACGGTCCACTAAAGTAGGCGTTCGAAAATTCTAAGTTTGACATGCAAACATCAGTTTTCCTTCTTACTGACAGTGACGTTTGGGATGTCAGGACACGGGTGGAACTTATTCGTTCCAATGTTAAACATAATAAGGATAACGTTAGATTGTTTTCAATTGGAATTGGCAATTATGTATCTTATAATCTTGTCAAATCTGTTGCACGCGCTGGAAAAGGCTACGCTCAGTATGTAACCATCAATGAGCGCATGGATAAGAAAATTATAGGTATGCTAAAGAATGCCATCAAGCCTCCAGTTAAGGATTACAAGATTATCTGGGCGGGGAATGAATCCAAATACGAGGATCTTGATAAGGAGGAGGCTGAGATAAAACCAACAATCAGCATCTTTGACAAGAATCCTAGTCCTTCTCCACAGGATCCCGTGATTACAGATGCCAAAACTAAACAAGCACCATTTGTTATTCCACCGATTTATTCTGGCGTTAGATTTTATCATTTATTGCATGTTAGCAAAGGCCGTTAGCCCAAATAAGGAGATCATGTTAACCGCATAATCTCCGAACGAACCTATGAAACTCAACATTCATTTAGACCCAACAATGTTGCAGGGTCAAAAATTCATACACTTGCCGCCAGAAAACTTATTCAAGATCTCGATGACGGTACCTCTTTTATTCACATGCATCCAAAGAATAAAGGAAAGCCAATCCCAGTTTCAGTTATAGAAGAACAAGTTGTTTATTTGGAAAAACATTTACAATAATTTAGCACGAAATACACGAGGTAAACATCCATTAATTAGCTTTGCACTACTAATAATTAATTGAAACTTTGAGCTTATTTTCGACTGTACCGTGCCTAAAGTTTTCTTGCAATTGATGAAAGTGGTATAAGTCAGTTGGAAAGCTGTTTCATTCTGAGAAGAGAGAGAATACCTATACACCAATCATCTCCAATATGCAAGAGAAAGTCACGGCGAGTAGCTTCGTTATCTTCCAGAAACTTCATTGTGCAATGTACGTGAATCTATTTTTATGTATTCAACAGATAAATAGGCGATTTATTGATTTATTTAAATTTCATTAGCTATGCCATTAAGTCTTTGCATGGAATCAGATATCTCTCTCATGGAAGTAACAAGACGTAGCGGGAGATCGACAAGTGGTCGCATGAATTCAAAGAAAATGACTTTCTCCAATCATTCTGCAGGTTTTTTATTTGAAAGTGCACCAGATGAAAAGAATGTTGAATAAAAAAAAAAACGTCTTAAACTCACTCTCAATTTTAAAGAATCAAAAATCGAAGTATTATATGAGTTTCTTAAATTTTAGTCCTCTATTCATGCTTCAATAAGAAGGAAGCTAAAGATTTTAAAGAGATTGACATTGATAACGAAAAAATTCTGTGCACAGCATTAGCAATAGAATATTTGGAGGTAGTGATATTCAGGCAATTTAAGGATGAGTGTGAGATGTGTTGGGAAAAGGCTAATAAAGCACTAAAGAAATTAGTTGAGGAAAAGGAGTTCAACGATGTTTTGAAAAAAGCCAGAGATTGGATTTTAAAGTGGGTAGAAACAAATTAATATTGCATGTTTGTTATAGCATTATGATATTGTAATTGCTTTAGAATCGCTCTTATTGTTCATTACTGTAATATCATTATTATTTTTATAACACTTGATTTTTTATTTCGTATAGAGTGTCAATTCTGAAGCCGAATCGTAGGTTTAAATATTTTCCCTGTAAAAAAGGTTAAAACTTAAGACTTAATAAAAATTTTTCCATTAAGAAATCTGCCCACTTCATCCTACACATAAAAAAATTTAAGAAATGACCAAGTTTCATTAAGCCTAACTATTTGATCTTTCGTTTGTTGATGGCGTAATAAACTGTACAGAACCGATCAATTTATTAATAAAATATATTATCTTATACAGTATATTGTTGTGGGAATAATGAGACGCATCGCATAACAATAGTAAATAATAGCAGAATGATGTAAGAAATTAGTCATAGCTGTAGTATATAAATATGGGTAATTATTTTTGAAGGCAGTAAAAATGCTAAATATGATTTTTTCGGTCCCTACTTTTTAAACAATACATAAACAATGTAAATTTTAGGATCACAATTATAGTGACCGAAAAATCCCTGTCCGCCTTCGAAAAGAATTACCCATATGCAACAAATTTTTAGAATGCTCTTCTGTTTCTCTTATTTATTAAATAAATACTATTGTTCTTTACACATTAAATACAAGTACGATTTTCCGCATGACATACAGTACGTATATTGATTGGGAAAAATAAATTCAAAATTGTTTCGATCATTTTTCAATAGCACGTGACTTTAATTGAGTAATATTGATGTAATAATAATTTTATTAATAATACTCTTCCAAAATGGATGCTTGGTAATCGGTCATAAAAAAAGCAAAGAAAATCGGACATAAAGTTGATGAAACAATCTATAGCTATCCAAAGTTACCGAAATTTTCATTTGAAGAAGAAAAGTTAAGTGTGCCCCACATAGGTTTCCTAATATTTACTCAATGTTAACTTGTATGGTTCGCAGTTTGCCCTTTCAGATTGGGTCGAAAGTTTCAGTACAAATTTCACTAGGACAACGGAAACGTCTACATCATTGATATGACTTACCCAGATCACCAAGCTGTTGTTGCACTATTGATGGAATACTTTAATGTTCCCAACGGGGGTGTAATACATGAGTTTCCGATAAGTGTTCTTGGGCAACCATGTATAGAGATTTCTATTTATTCTGCTAGATTTTGACTTATAATAATAATCCAAGTTTCTTTTATGGTTCATTATGATCCAATTACTATAAGGAAAAAAAATAGCATCAGATGTTACAATCTATCCAAGTAGAGCACATACTTCGAAATCTATTCTTCAGTACCCTGGGCCACCCCCTGTAACGTAAATGTAATTGAATTCGTATTATTATCATCTTTACTTTGGATATTTTCTTAATTTTTAGATGTTCGCATAGGGACATCCCATGGAGAATATTCTGTGAGCTAGCCTTAGCCCAAAGCACCAATCTTTGGAATGAAAAATGCACGAACAATATGTGCGTTGTGTATTTGGCATTAAACTTCATAGCATAAGAGCTGTAAATAAACAAGTTCATCGGTCAATGACTAAATTAAGCAAAGCTATGGACACGTCAAACAACTGCACCACCAGAGAGTACCCACTAGCAGGACTAACAGGAGTATTCGTCCAAAAAGTAAAGATTGTAACGCCAATTCAAAAAAGCGTGTCCGCGCCTACAATAGAGAATAATTGGAAAGTTTAATAATGTACAAATATATTTATGGTTTATTCGTAAAGCATACTATTGAACTAAAATTACATGCATTAGAAGGTTGAATGATTTGTACTTAAGTCTGTACTTATAATTGAAAACTCAACGTTTCAAAAATTAACAGAGCGTGAGTACGAAATTTAATGAACCCGTTATAATCAATACAGCTTTTTAAATTAATTACCTTTCCAATGAAATCAAAAGGAAGTAAGTCTAGTTCTTATTTTTAGCTATTTTGACTAACGCCTAACTAATAAACGCACTTGTATCAATACTATCCGGTAAGTAGTGGGTTAACCGTGTACAAATTTAATAAGATTTTTTAATACTTTATTATTAAATTTATCTTAAATTTTTTTTTTATTAAAAAAAATTGATTAAAATTTTTTATAAATTTATATATATAAATTTATATATTTTTAATACTAGGTTTGTTACTAATCTGAAATTGGCACCTGTATTATATTAATATCAAAATAACAAAAATTTTTTTTATTATCACTTATTCTTACTTTTGTATAAATATTAACATATGTCTATTTTATTATAGATTTAGTAAAATTAAAAACCAATTTATAAAAAGATAAGTTTATTAATTATTATTATGCAATTTATAAGAGTAATAATAGTAATTGATTCTTTAATTACTATATTTATAATAATTTTATAATGTATAAATTTTATATTCATTATTTTAGTATATAAATTTATCTTATGCCTATTAAATTTTTTATTTATACTGATATATAATTTAATGCATCAGTTTTTTATAACATGTTCTTATCTATATCTATTATATATATATACTTTATCTTTTTTTTTTTTTTTTTTTTTTTTTTTTAACTGCGAACAGAGCAAGAGATGCAAGACTTTTATTAATTATATAGTTAAATTTATA